ACGTCTGCACAAGGTACTGTATTACAATTCGTTGTGGCGGTGATGATGGTCCAGAGTACACGTGCACATACACAGCTAGGCGCCATGAGATTTCTTGAGCTACATGATCGATTACTATGGCGAAAGCGGTGGCCGTCAACGCGACCCCAGACGTTTTGGATGGCTGCGGGCGGACTTTAACGGGTGCCACACGAATTACCACCAGGAAGGAACGAGGAAGAAGCTTTCTGGTCACGAGACCATGTGTACTTTCGTGCGTCTGCTCGTGCATACGACAACACGGCCGGAGTTCAAGAACAGCGAGGCAGACGCAAGCGTGGGTGCACATAGATGCTTGGCGCATTGGCCGCGTTAAATGTGTCTTGTCTGCGAATACGACACCGAAGTACCAGTATCGGGTCGAATCGAAGGTACACTTACAGACGACTCCATGACGCACCTGGTAGCCATGCCTGGTAGCAGTGCTGTGTTCTGACACAAAGAAACCGCACCATGGGCCATGTCACTTTTTTGTCGAGAGTCTTACTTACGCCTTGTCGGCCGCGGCTCGATGGCAGTGGTTGAGGCGCGGAGCTGTACTACCCTCGGACGGCAGCGCTATGACGCCAAGGACACTGTCGAGGAACGCCTGCCAGCCGTGCTGGACGACCAAGTGCTGGTACCGAGCAAACGCATGGGAAGTCGTACTGGACGCGGCACTGCACTTTGCAAACTGTTCGATCCGAAGCAGATCGTCGCGCCACGTCATGACTTTGCCGTGTACAACTTTTGGGCCATTGTATAACATGGTTCGGACGCGCGTTTGGTTGGGTGCGACGCGTTCGAGGACGTACCTACATTGTGAAAACACGCCATTTCAGGCTAAGAGCTTGGTTTTCTCGACGCACCAAAAGAGTCGCGGGCGCCACATGTGGTTGATAGGGTGGAGGACGTCTTGGCTGAAATTCCCAAACAAAAAGACGATGCGGTCGTCCGATGCAAACTCGCGACAGACGTAGTAGTTGCTCTCTCTCGGCCCGAGCGGTGTGCGGCGGTAGAGCATTTTAGGGTCGATCGCGGCTGTCGTCTACACAATTTTGGCCAAGTCGTTTCCGTTCAAATGATTACAACTCTTTTTACCTCGGTGTCGAGAAACTCGGACATGGACACGTGCGTGTCCCCGCGCAGCTCGCCCCAAATCTTATCGGCGAGCGCGCTGTATGTCTTGTGCAGCGGGAGGTTGTACTCGATCTGGATGCGCCCCAGAATGTCCGACAAGCCACTCTCGGCGTCGTCTGTCACAAGGACGTCGTGGAGCGTCCCTTTTGATGGAAACCCACAGAGCTGCAGCATGCGGTCCGTATTGAACAGCAAGTGCTGCGAGTACCAATCGAGTCCTCGCTTGCGCGCTTCCGGGTCAGCGGGCAGCGTCAAGGCCGTCAAGCCGCGCAGTGGGTTATCATCGAGCTACAGACCACGAGTATGAGTGTGGTCGGCGCATGATCACCGTACCTGTGAGGGCGACGGGACCGACTGACCGACCCACGTCGCCAGCGTACATGCGAGGTCTTGCATGGATGCATTGGCGTCGCGTAGCACCTGTAGCGTGAGGCGCGACTCGGCGTTGGCCTGCGCGAGGCCGGCGGCCACGTCCTTCCATGGCAAGCACGAGGTCGAGGTCGGGGCAGGGACAGGCAGGCGCGTCGCTAGGGTGGCCACGACGTCGCGGAGCTCAGCTAGTTGGCTCAGGAGCTGGCTGCGCTCGGTCGTGAACCGGTCGCGGTGGCGCTTCTGCTTGAGCCGGTTGCGCCGGCGCTGGTGCTCGACGCGCGCATCCATGAAAAACACAAACTCCGACGCTGGCATGCTCGGAACGACCAACAGTCTGGTTGGATCTGATTGGTCCACGGCACTCAGTGCACTGTTGGATGGCTTGTTGAACCTCGCCGACGACGCCCGAACCTGTATTTTGATCACCAAAGCTGAGCTGATCACCAAAGAAATCTGCTCTTGCCGTCGTCGACTCTCTGTACGAGCAGCTGTCTTGGACGATGAGTCGAGAAATGCCATCGAGTGGGTGCAAGCCCGTCCGTTGTACTGTTCGAGTCTTTTGCACCGGCCTTTTATGTCAACTAAAACTTACGCTGACATTTTGTAAGGTCCTCGAGGAGCTCATTCATGGTCAGGCTTCAAGTATGGCCCTCTGATTTTCGTGTTTTTATAGCATTCTAAAGAGGCATAATGGGTCGTACCGCGCTGTATCAAGAACGAGAGGTGCACTTTATTAGCGTTGCTCGGCGGTACAGTAGTATCAAGTTATCAGCGGCGCCGCGTCCGTCGCGTCGGCGTTATTCGCCAAAAAGGCGAAGTCGCTAACGAGAAGCGGCATCCAACTGCGCTCGAGGACGTGCTGATACTGTGTAAACTGCGCGTCGTCCGAGAGATCGGATACGTCCAAGTCCAACGACGCCATGTCCTCGCGCCACGTCATCGGAACACCGCGGTCGATCCTGGGGCCCGTGCACGAGACCCAGCGTAGCCGGGTTTTAGACGGCCCCACCCGTTCCAGAAGAAACCTAGCACCACATTTCATGAGGTTCCAATGCGCCAACATAAAGAATGCACGTGCCAAAACATGCGGGGTCGCCACATTTCGTTGACGGGCTGGAGCGCGTCCTGGTTGAAATTGCCCGTCAAAAAGACAATACGGTCCTCCGAGGCAAACTCGCGGCTCACGTAGTAGTTGCTTTCGTCTGCATCCATCGGCGACCGCCTGTAGACCATCTTGGGATCGATGCTTTGCGTCATCTACAAGAATCCGTAAGCGGGCGATTTCGTGCAATCTTCTTCGTGTACCTCTTCGTCTAGGAATTGAGAGACCCACGGGTACGTATCCCCGCGCAATTTGCGCCAGATTTTGCTCTCGAGCGCAGCGTACGTTGCCCACAGCGGCGCGTCGAACTCAATCTGAATACGCCCGAGCACGTGGAGGAGGTCGTCGGCCGCCGCGCCAAGAACTGCAATGTCTCGGACCGTGCCCTTTGACGGAAAAGCCGC